CAGTCTTGTTTCGAGCAATTGCTAGGCAATTCTTTATCTTATTATTGTTAACATATTATCCGAGATTTCAAAATATGCCTAAAACACGCGAGTTGAGTGAAGGAAAACGGGCTCAGATTATTGTGTTGCATTCCGTAGGATTATCTCAAGTGCAAATAGCAAAAAAAATAAAATGCTTCTGTTGCGCAGTTCAAACTACAATAAAAAGATACTAAACAGTTTAAATCCAGATCTGGAAGAGGAAGAAAACGAAAGACTACTGCCAGAGAAGATCGATATTTAAAGCAAAATGCTCTAAAAGATCGTCGGCAAACGGCAAAAGAATTAACTGCTGCGTTAAGAAGAAATTGTTACATAAATAAGGTGCCTAATAATTTTGTCAATGGCTGTATGTCCGTTATAGATAACATATGTCTTTTTTCAATTAAATAATTATTTACAAACCTATAAAATGTTGAATGTTCCCAAACTTATGCAGGGTACTGTATATCTGATATTTATTGAAAGCAAGAAAGAGAATTCTAGTGCAGTCCAGTGCAGGAAACAGACCACTAATGCAATCCTCATACGGGAATAAAAAAAACAAACCTTAAATTACACGAAAGAAAACTATGCATGGCTTCCAACAAGCGACAATGCAACACAGTGATCATGTCATCTTTGTTTAACATTAACAACAAGGATATATTGTGCCACACTGTATCATTTGTGTCACTTGTTGAAAGAAACTACAACTGATAAAGAATGTATGAATACATTATTTAACATATACTTATATATAATAAAAATAATATAAATGTGATGATACAACATACAAATGTAAAACAAAAAACAAAAAAAAAATACAAATATAACATAAATAATACAGAAATAACAATTAGATAAAAGGAAGCTCATGACAGTAAAAATTACATATTGCAACACATAAATTGTTAAAATATTTCAAGAATTTTATATATATATTATAAAATGTTTTTAAAAATATTTAATAATTTAATATGAATAAACCTAGAAAAAAAATTAAAGATTTTTTAAATTAAATATAACCTAGACTGCAATGGACCACTTTCGCCATCAGGAAGATCACGGCCCAAAATTTTACGAATGCTGCGATCGAGACCACGAAGTCCATCGCGGGCAACTTCTAACTGTGCTTCTAATCTGTCGGCTCCCCATAACTCTTGACAATCTAATTTCCTCATTAGAAACTTCTACACTTAATAACACAGAAAACTAATTCCTTCAACAAAGAACCGAAATAATATCGATACCAGAGTTGATCGGAGATCAGAGAAATTTTCTGATCTTGCAAATCGTGAATTGGACATAGAGATTTAATAAGAGTAGATGAACATTATTGACCTCTGTCATGCTTCCGGCACACCAGCGCGATGTTCGTCGCGCGCGACACGCTGGGCTGCGTTCGAAAACATCACCCGGGTGTCACCATGGGTGCGTTCCGTTACTCGCATGATGCGCATAATGCATCGTTTATCTTTGTTGCTCACCAAATGTTAAATAAGGACAATGGATGCATCATTCACATCATGCGCGATACGGAACGCACCTCATGTATCATCTTAAGCTGGAAACACAATAGACACAGGAAATAGGCACAGGCAACAGGAAATAACGAGCCGTCCAATCAGAGCTCTGGGATATCATACCGAACTTATACCCCAAAGCTCTGATTGGACGGCCCGTTATTCCCTGTTGCCTGTGCCTATTGCCTGTGTCTATTGTGTTTCCAGCTTTAGGGCCTGCGCACAGTAGAGGAACAAGAATTAGATATTAAGATTTCAACCTATCAGAAATCGTGTATTCCGATGTAATCAGTTTCTGATAGGTTGAAATCTTAATATCTAATTCCTGTTCCTCTATTGTGCGCAGGCCCTTATCCTTGTTTATAGCTGGAAACACATGGTCTGTTTTCTATTTCTGCACTAGACTGTTCTAGAACTCTCTTTCTCACTTTAAACAAATATCAAACATATATCTATCTCACTTTAAGTTCCAAAAGTGTACACTAGTTCAGCCACAGAAAACAAACCTACAATAGACACAGACAATAGGCACAGGCAACAGGGAATAACGAGCCGTCCAATCAGAGCTTTGGGGTATAAGTTCGATATTATATCCCAGAGCTCTGATTGGACGGCTCGTTATCCCCTGTTGCATGTGCCTATTGCCTGTGCTATTGTGTTTCCAGCTTAACACTGAGTGAACAATAAATATAATATGATACGCGAGGACACTCGGGTGATGTTTCCGAACGCAACTCTTGGTGCTTTCCATTTGATAACACAAGTCGATACAAATCGAAACAAGCGTCGTTCTATCTTTGTCACTCTCTGAATGTCAACAAGGATAGAACGACGCTTGTGTCGACTTGTGTCATCAAATGAAAGCACCCGCTATATCCAATTAGTGTACAGCTTTATGCTGGATTCACTCTGCATTCGAATTGCGTTGTACGACGCTCTGCAACCAATCAGAAAACAGGATTCCGATGATACGCAGAAAATCCATCGAAATCCTGTTTTCTGATTGGTTGCAGAGCGTCGTACGACGCATATCGGATGTAGAGTCCCTAGAGTAGAGAGCCTGGACATACGGGAATCCGCGTGATTGGTGCACGTGACTTGTGCTCTCACAATGCAGCACCAATACAGAACCTTGTTCAGTCAGCGCGAATGGGAGGAAGATTAGAATAGTACACATAACGTGAACTATAATGCTTATTGTTTTTAATTGAACTTTTTGCATTTCTCGCATTTCGGTTCATCTTTCCTCTTTTTATCTTCGCATTGTATGAAAAAGGTGGAAAGTTAAACCGTGCAAAAAATAAGGATGTTTCCGATTGACTTGATTAAGAGTTTTAGAGTCCATATCTTGAAAATAAGTGTGCAGCTGAGGTCACATTATTGAAAGGAACGATACCGAATGTGTAGAACTAAGAGGGGTGATCCCAATTGATCACGGCTCGATTGGACACCACCAATCACAGCGACCAGTGCTTAGGAGTTTTGTAGTCTTAAGCGCTGTGAGTGGCTCATGTCCAATTGAGCCGTGTCCAACTGGGTGCCACTCCGCGATGGAAAGGTGCCGGTTCCCCATGAGGCGTACTTTTCGAGTTGCGTAGATTACGAAAACCAATCGTAAATTCGTTTAGCATTTCTGTTAAAGCGTACAACAGAAATTCTAAACAGCAATTGGTTGCATTAGTTCCGCGTTTCTCTAAATTCCACGAAATACGCCCAATGTGAATGCCGGCTTTCAGAATGGCGTATTCGGGGTGATCCCGATTGATCACGGCTCGATTGGACACCACCAATCACAGCGACCAGTGCTTTGGAGCTTTGTAGTCTCAAGCGCTGTGAGTGACTCGTGTCCAGTTGAGCCGTGTCCAACTGGGTGCCACCCGGCGTATTCCAGTAAATAAAAAATAACCTATCTAGTAAATTACTAGAATACGCAGTTTACGCTTACGCAGGTTACGTCGCATGTGACGGCACCCTTAAGGCCCGTCTACAATACACGGAGTAAGAAGTAAGAGTAAGAAATTGACCAATCACAGTCGAATGTGAGAAGAATAATCGACTATGATTGGTCAATTTCTTACTCTTACTTCTTACTCCGTGTATTATAGACGGGCCTTTATGATTAAGGCCTTGGCACATAGAAAAACTTAAGACGTAAGACTTAAGCAGTAAGGAAATCAACATGTTGGATTCGCTAATGGTTACGTATGGTTTTATGCTGGATTTACACTGCATCCATCGGAATCTTGTTTTTTGATTGATTGCAGAGCGTTGTACGACGCAAATCGGATGCAGTGTGAATCCAGCATTACGGTCTCTGTTGCGATTGGTCGATTCGCTTACTGCTTAGGTCTTACACCTTAGATTTTTTTATGTGCCATTGCCTTTAAAGGCCCGTCTACAATACACGGAGTAAGAAGGAAGAGTAAGAAATTGATCAATCACAGTCGAATGTGAGAAGAATAATCGACTGTGATTGGTCAATTTCTTACTCTTAGTTCTTACTCCGTGTATTATAGACGGGCCTTTACGTGAGGTGTGTGCGGCAGCCCTTAAGCCTTGTGTCCACGATGCTAAAAATCGGTCCGAGACTTCGGATGATGTAAAGTCCTAGATTTATCAGAGAGGCGCAACCGGTGTTATGCATTCTTATTCGCTGTTGCAATCTAACCAATTGCGTGACTTGGCAGCCATTTATAGTACTAGTGACATATTTCTATTTCATTTTATCCTATACATTCTATCTCAATTATTCTACACGTCTTATGGCTCCGGTACACCAACGCGATGTTCGTCGCGCGCGACACGCGATATTCAATGAGAGTATACCTTTAGAATGAGAACATTGGTAAAGCTGTACACTCATTGGATATCGCGTATCGCGCGCGATGAACATCGCGCTGGTGTGCCGGAGGCATTAGGTGCATCCAGAAGCACGACCGCTTATTGAGCTCTTGTATCTGTTTGGTCTATATTTTTCGATCTAATGGAATATGCCAATCAGATGCAAGAGCTCACCGAGCGCTCAGTGAGCGATCGTGCTTCTGGATGCACCCATTATCTTGTTTGACATAGTTTAAAGGCAGTTTCATAGCATGTCGGCTATGTTTAGTACTCTCCTTAGCACCTTTGTCATACTGACTTAAGCCGGTTGCGCCTCTCTAATAAATCTAGGACTCTAGGATGAAGAAAGAATTGACCATTCGCAATGGTCACGTAATCAAATTGTTCAAATATGATTTGTTAATTTTTTCTCTGTCCGAGGTCTTGGATCGATTTCTAGCATCGTAGACATTTCGCTTTAGACACAGGCCCTACTCGTATCAAGCGCACGTTGTAAACTAGTCAAGTCGGTCGATCACGTTAGTCGGAATTGGTGAGACTAGTCCTAGATGGCAGTATTAAAAGACGATCATAATTCCTCTGTCGATGTAACTTCGTACTAACTAGTGTTGCAACTGGCAACGAGTCAAGATCGGGTGAGAGAAGTGATCAAAAAATGGCATCCGCGCCGATGTCGCACAATGAGGTTTCCCAGGAATTTTCTGTCAACAAACTTATCCGCGTTGGTTATTACGAGCTGGAAAAAACTATTGGTAAAGGAAATTTTGCCGTAGTAAAAATGGCCACCCACGTCGTAACAAAATCTAAGGTAAAAGACGCCGTTCAAATCTACAATTACAAACATGAAATCCGTCATTTTGTCGTTAATATCTTCTGAATTCTGAATATCTGTGTGAATACTTCTTCGATTTTTAGTATGTAATTACAAAGTTTAATGATTTCAATGTAATTATTTTTTGTAGCTATATTCAAGTAATTATAATTAATATTTAAAAAATATGTTTATTATTGTTAAGAAAGATTACTGTTGTTTTATTTAAAGTGTATAAATCATGTAAATTTTATAATTTTTTTATTCATATATTTGCACATTTAACATTCTGAGCGTATACATAATAATATATAGTATTACTAACAGAAATATTTTTTTTTCTGAAAATTGGTCTGCAGCTTAATAATTTTAAATTTGTGTCTATCTAAAAGATAATATATATCTTTTTTAATGGAAATGTCATTAATGAGAAAAAGAAAGAAAAAATAGGTGAGAAATGAATACTCTCAAAAGCTCACACATATACGTGGGAGAGGTTATATATTTATTGTATGTTCTAAATTAATTGGATTGAAAAATTATTAGATTTTACTGCTATTTTATTTCTATGACTTGATGTAACACGTTTGATTTTATACTGCTATGAGCATTATTATATGAATGTTATGTTACAAAAATATAAGAATTTACTAATATTTCATGTATTTGTATAAGATGAATACTAAGGGCGTTATTCATAGGGTGGTATTTATAGTCTGTTCTTATTTCAAGATTGCCTTAAGTAATGTCTTAAGACACTAATACGGCCTTCTGATTGGTTTGTGACTTTTTAAGACTGTACTTAAGACTGTTTTGAATATAAAATCTATGAATACCGGTCTAAAGCTGGTATTCATAGTCAATTCTTATATTTAAGGACCTTAGCAGAAAACTGACTTATAATCTTAGGACAATGTGTTATGATTTAAGTATTATGGCCCGTATTCAGAACGCGCTTTTATTGATAAAAGCGTATTTTTATCTCTGAAATTCTATAATATGCGTGATGTAAAGTATAGTATGTTAGCGTGCTAACATCGTTGTAAGCGCGTTCTGAATACGGACCTATGTCTTTAGTAACGCACAAGAACTATCTTATGACTTATATCTTAAAGGTGAATAAATACGAAGAGCCTTTTAAGATATAAGTTATAAAGCAGTTCTTGTGTGTTAGGATCTACAATAGGTGTTTTAAACCTTGAGTCGTAAGAAATTGACCAATTACAATCGAATTTGAGAAGAATAATCGACTATGATTCATTCATTTCTTATGGCTCAAGGTTTAAAACTCTATGGTAGATCCGGGGTTACTAAAAACCTAAGACTTAAGTCATAAGACACTGTCTTTAAGATTATCGGGCCTTCTACAATAAGCCGCAAGTCAAAACGTCAGAAGTCTTAACCAAGTTGTTCAAGTTGGCTGTTGACCAACTTCACCGATTATGACTTAAGATCGCTTAGAACTTGTGACTTGTGATTTATTGTAGAAGGCCCATATAACTCAGCCTTTCTGTTACAGTCCTAAGATTGTCTTAAGTATAGTCTTAAGATGTCATAAGCCAATCAGAGGACCACATTAGCATCTTAAGACATTACTTAAGACAGTCTTAAAATAAGAGGATTATGAGTACAGGCCCAAGGTCTGATTGCATTAATGTTACTCTCTCTTAAACTTTAAGTGAAGCTTAAAAATCTCTCTTTCTTTTTTAAAAGCCAATAGAGAGACAGAAAGGGAGAGAGTTCTAAGCCACGCTTAAAATTAAAGTAACGTTGGTGAAATCTAGGGCCTAAGTATTCTAAAAGGTTTTAAAGAGTGATTTCTCACACAAATTCAAGATGATAACTTTATATGATTATGTCCGAAACGATTCAAAGATATAGGATATAAAATTAGAAGAAAAAGTTTTGTTATTTTTTCTTTAATTTCGAAACTACTTGGGTTATTTTAATGAAACTTTAAACATAAAGTTTCAGATATATGATCATATAAAGTTTTCTTTTTGAATTTGTGTGAGGAATCGTCCTTTAAAGTTTCTAGACTACTTAATGCCCATTCTGTATATAGATTGTCCCATTTTTAATGACGACCTTCAATATTTTTTGAATAGTACATTTTACAGAAAAAAGTTTCAGATAAAAATGGTTTCGAGGGGACATATTTTGGTTAAATTATTTTCCAGTAGCCTAGAAAGATATGAAGATTACCTTCACCTTTTTTGAATGGAATTATATGATTTTTTGGTTACGTAATATGATTCCTCTAATTATATTGCACATAAAAATATTAAGGTAGAGATGTAAAAAACCAATAGTTTACTAGATATTTTATACTTTATTGTGACACATATTAATATGAAGTATTAAATATCATGTAAATTGTTAATTTTTTTACAATTGTACTTTAATAACTTTGAATAGAATAATGATGTGAATCAGTTGGGGTGTAAAGAAAACACATAGTTGCTTATTTAAAAAAATTATCCATTTTGCTTACATGTTTGTTTTAAAATAACTATGTGTTTTCTTTACATCAATTGATTCATCTCATTACTCTGTTCATAAAAGTATTAACATTTATTTATCAAAAAATTAATAATTTATGAGATATTTAATATTTTATGTCAATATGTGCCAGAATAAAACATAAACTGTTGTTTTGAATATTTCTGCCTTAATATTTTTAGATACAGAATAATTAAAAGATGACGTTTGAAGTATAGGAATTTCAATCAGGGTTGGCAAAAGTCCACATTTTTTGGATAAAGTCCATGCCAGTGGTAAAAATCGGTCTTTTCTATTAAAAATAATCAAATAAATAGATTTGATTATTTTGAGTAAAAATACATTAAGAGGAAGACATAAGGG